TTCTGCAACAAACAAACAAATTTCATGCTGTTACAAGAGAATGATGAAAACTTCACCTTAAAAAGCTTGTTTTTTAGTAAAGTCCTTTCTACTTGCAGCCAAATTCCAAAGAAGAAAAAGATCTCCGGACAAGAAGAAGAAAGAAAAAGTTTTAGAATCTGATAATAAACCATCCTCGTTTGATTCTGCAGTTATTGTGCATTCTTCTCCTAAAAGTGAAGGGGAAGCTAGCAATGATTCATCAACCCACAATACAAAAACAGAGAAGAGCAAATCACCAGTCAGATCAATGGTCAGCTTGGATCCAGACTCCTTTGATTTGGACTCACTGTTAAATGAAGATAAAGCTGAGATGATTAATGAGGAGAAAGTAAAAATAAGAAAGAAATCAAAGGATTCCATGCAAGCTGCCATCAGTGATATTATGAAGAACGTTGCCAGCTCAGACGATAGCTCTACTCAAGCAATCTCGGGTACAACAGCCACAATTGAGAGTCAAGATAAATGGCCAACCAGTGATGAATCTAAAAGCAGTAGAAAACAGACCTCATCAGGTGATGAATCTAAAAGCAGTAGAAAACAGACCTCATCAGGTGATGAATCTAAAAGCAGTAGAAAACAGACCTCATCAGGTGATAATTCATTGGATGGATTATCAGATATATTGAATGATAGCTTCTCTAGTGGAGTAATGAAAGCAGAATTGAGACGTACTTCAAAACATCAAGATGAAAATGAGATGAGTGACTCAAAAAAGTCCTCACTGACAGAAATAGCATATCAGCCACTGAAAACAAGTGATAAACCGCCAAAGAAATTGCCACCACTGACTGGACGTATATCATCTTCTAGTGACTCTGCAGTTGCAGAACCACCAAAAAAAGCATTGGCCAAACTTCCTAACAAATCAAAACAGCTGCCAGCTGTGAGAAAAAAGGTGTCTACTCTGAGCAAGACAGAAAACAGGAAATCATCACCAAGCAGTGAACATAAAAAAATAAAGAAATCTATGTCAACGGGACAAACTTCACAACTTCGTGGTCCTTCCTCAAAACCTCCTGATCAAAGTACTCCATTTGCTGCTGAACACAGTGAAGTGAAGTTACCTGCACACTCTACAGCCCAAAAGGCTGTACCAATGACTAAAAAGGCAGTGTCCACAAGTGGGCCTTCTTCAAAACCAGCAAAGAAATCATCTACACAACAACAGCCAGAAAGCACGCCTAGTAAACCAAGAGATGCTGCTAACAAGTGAAATCTTTGGCAGTCACAGATGTTTTATGTTTATGCAGATAATGTAATTTCATTGCATTGTATACAAGTGATATGAGTGTTACTGGCGTCAGCATTGTGTACTTCCTTCTGAAACTCAAAAAAAAAAAGGTAAAATACAAAACAACCAATGAATAACATGGTGTTATATAGTATTCATGCTCATTTACAAATTAATTAATTCATTAATACTAATCATGTCATAATCTGGCACAAGCACAAATACAGTTTTAACATTTTTACCTCCACTGATCTTCAAAGATGACAGAGTGGAGCTGTTCAAATATTATCCATCCGCTGTCTGTCAACAACTTTTATTTTCAATTTCTTCTTGAAAACTACCAGCTTAATTGTGTTGATACTTGGTATGTAGGTACATTTGGTGAATCGTTTATCAGAATTGTTCATTTTGTAACGATATCTTCAATTCTCTATTTTTGGTTAAAAATGCTATTTTCAATTTCTTCTTAAAAACTACCTGCTCGTATGCTTTGATACTTGTAGGTACCTTCTCTATTTTTGGCGATTATATTTGGTAAAAAAAATGTCAACTTGTTCTTGAACACTACCAACATATTAATGATATTTTTGTGCACAATGTGTTTGATTAAGTTACGCTTACATTTTCTCAACAACCAGAACCGTGTTTTGTGTTAAAGGAGTGTATTGCTCATCTAACACAATATTCTTGTAGGACAGCGGAGCTATTTCTACGGTTAGGTTGCTTGTCTTGTTTTCAAATTTAAGTGTAACAACTGCTTAAGTCATTAAAATGATTGACATTGCCACGATGTCTCGCTATTTAACTTTTCTGTAGGCAGTCGTCTTTTTTCACTTGGAAGCATTTTGTATATTTTTGTTAATCTACCATAGAACATAGTGATAGAATAATAGTATTCTAATCATAATTTTAAACTTATATACAAAATTGTCAAAATTGGTTCCCTGTGATGGCAGTACTTGATAACCCTAATTCTGCACCAATAGTATTAACAATAAAATTATCAATTTTAAATCACTCAGTTTGTGGCAGTTTATTGAGACTGTTTTGGTGTTATAATTATTTAAGACTGCCTTCTATTTGATGTTCTTGCCAAGTACTACATGCTGCCCTCTATGTTGTGATCTTGCCATGCATTACAGGCTGCTCTCTATGTTGTGATCATGCCATGTATTTTGCTGGTTCCCGGCGTCCCTTGTGAATGGCAAGTAAGATGCAGGTAACTAGTAAATGCCATATTGTTCCACTGGGCCGGCCAAAAGGCACGTGACTGAGTGACATAATTTGAAAACATACTAATATTCGCTTCCCGTAAAAAAACGCCATGTCCATGTCAGCAAGGACTTAATATTTGAGATGGTTCTGGCATTTCTCGCTATTTTGTACAAATTGATAACAAAAGAAACAGTTTTTCATTCGCCCAACTTTCAAAAGTAAAAGAAGACCCTTGAACGACCACGAGCATAAGCGCTGACGTCAGGTAACCAAGGGAAATAGAATAACCAACAAGAAAGTGATGGACCAATCAGAATGTTGTAAGCATTGCTAGTTACCTGCCTCTTGTGGCTTGGTGCGCCATGACACTTGAGGCGGGAACCCCACCAAGCCATGTATTACAGGCTGCCCTCTATGTTGTGATCTTACCAATTATTGCAGGCAGGGTTCTTGTACATATTAAAAGTTGTACACTGTGAAGTATTTATTTATTTATTTATTTAAAATCATTTGACTTGTTTATGTATATACAGTATATAGTATATAACATTTAAACTTACTAAATAGACATATTAAATGTATTTACTCCAACTTACATATTTGTACAAATGGTTGCATTTATGTGAATCAGATCTGTTAATTTTTGTAAATGCTCTATTGTAAAATAGGTGTTTATGAGATGAAATCTTTGAATAAATGAAGTTGGATATCTTGGACTGTAATGTGTATTCACCTGTAATATTATCTGATAACCAATTATACATATGATAACCCCTAAGGCCAAAAAAAAAATAGTTTTGTTGCCCTCAGTGACCGACCAAAAAATAAGAAATATTGGGTCACGTTTTTTTTTTTTTTTCCCTGTATACCTTGGCTATTTACGATACCCTTAGTTTTCACAAGTTTTCACGACTTGAGATTTAATAACATTGGACATATTTTTGTAGCAGTGAAAATGTCACTACCGTAGTTGTCATTGACATTCACTAGGGTCATAAAGGCTTGGCAACATTCACTGACATATTAAAGACATCGTGACTTTCAATATGGTTCTAAAAGTACATTGTCACAGTGGCAAAAAAAGTTACTGTAAAAGGGTTAATTATTCACTGGGTTTTAATTTTGCTTATTTCACTGACTGGAAAATGCTCTAAATTAAAACCTAGTGAATATGTAAAATTGAGCATAGAACACATTATCTAAATGATAAAACCGTGAATTTAAAAGCCACTGAATATGCCTGAAATGGTAAATCAGTGAAATTTAAACCCAGTGAAAATTAGTCATTTTACAGTACCTAATTACCATATGAGGATGTGTCTACGTGAACAATTTGTGTTAAACCCAATCTTAACATTTTCTGTATTTGTGATAACACAAAGGTAATACACTTCATTATAAGCTGTAGAAAATAACACGTACCTTTCATGTTATTTTTTTTTCAAAGAGCTTGTTTCTTGCCATTATTATGAGTGGCCCTAAATTGTCTTGTCAGCTAACATCATTATTTCACTTTCAATAACAAAAGTCTATGTAAAACAGTGGAAGTTGGTAGACCAACCCTTGTGTGATACTGTGAAATGTCAACCAATCATCAGGCTCAGGAAAATGCACAATTATGATCATCATTCTGTTTTTAAAATGAAAAAGAAACTTATAATATATAAAGTTAAAATCTAACTTCAATTTACAGCATTACTTTGTTTATCTTGGTAAAAAACTATGACCTGTGTGTAACTCTATCAAAGTCTTGTTTGATTTAGTCTCAAAACTATGACCTGTGTAACTCTATCAAAGTCTTGTTTGATTTAGTCTCAAAACTATGACCTGTGTAACTCTATCAAAGTCTTTTTTGATTTAGTCCCAAAACTGTGACGTCATGGAAGAATCCCATTAATGGACTGTAACTAAGATTTATTCAATTTAGAATCCAGCAGTGTGATAACAAGTCACTAGATGAGCAGTTCACTATGCTACCCTTGTAATGAACAAAAGTTTATTCAAGTAACACAGACTCAACATCTATCAGGTATGGGTGATTCAGTTTACATATTTTTTTTTTCTTGCACCGTTTGAATAAAAATTCTCCTTTTGTATATTTAGTTTTATATTTTTTACATATCCATTAAATTGTTATTTAAAATATCTCTTAATTCGAATTACTACGAGCAAGGGTTCAACATACAATGTACTAACAAAACTGCATTTCAAGTAGATGCTGAAATTCTTGGAATAATCAATTCAAGTGTTTGTTCATCTTTGTTTGTGGCATCTATACTAACTATGCCAATTTATAAACACTAAATAATAATCTGATGTTTGTACTACCTAGTAACAATTAAATAATCAGTTCTTTAGAAAAGGTAATAACTACTACTCGATATCATCTGAAAAGTTTGTTACTATTTTTGTCTTTCACCTCAGATAGCAATAAAAAGGATAATGTTATCTTAGGTTAAACTATTTGAAGGCTTCAAATTGTTTTTGATCCAGTACGCAGAGTACGAGTGGGAGGTAGTCATCATGGATTCGTTTGCATTTCTCTGTTTTGTTTTTTCAAATTGTTAGTGCCAGGTGACAGTTATTGACCCTCGGTGCTATAACATTTTGTCACAGCACAGTCCCTCTATTACTGGTCATAGCAATCCCCGTCACGACCAAGCCAGGTCAGACTAATAATACCGGTAATAATAATAATCAAGTTTTATTGCATCCTTAGAAATTACAATATTTCTTTTGGTAAAAAGCAATAAATATATCCATACACAACACAATTACAATACAATATAAATAGATACGTTAAAGTTTTCTGTACTTTAAGTAGATAGGTCCCCATATATTTAATTGCCTTGGAGTCCTTGTTGCTCATCAAAAATATAAAATTACTCAATTTATCTCCTGCCTTAGTTAATGTAATTTCTGTGAGCAATTCATGCTAATATATTTGTACCGATCACATTCTAAAAGGAAGTGAACTTCATCTTCTATTTTATTTTGGGAACACAAATTACAAATTCTTTTTTCAATGGGAGTTTTTGGCTGTGTGTGCCTTCCTTTTTCAATAGCCAAACAATGGTTACTTGTTCGGAAGCGTGACATGCAGACTTGATGTTTTTTCGGAGGACAATTTAAGTATGACTCAAAATTATAAGTATTTTTGAATTTTGCATATGTTCTTAGTTTTGTGTTTTCTTGATTGACATTCTGTTTCCAAAATGTAATATAGTTTTCTTTTAAAGTCTTATCAATGTTCTTCATATTCAAATCTGTTTTACTAGTTTGAATTCTTGAGTCAATAACTAAATTCTGATCCGATGAACACCATGGTAAGTTGAATTTCATTTGTTCATAATATGCTTGTTTTGTAAGACATTTATCTGGAAGCCCTTGTATGCGTAACCAATACTTGATAAGGTTTTTCTTGGTGTCTATTAGTAATGGGAAACAGCCCAACTCTGCCTTACAAGCTAAATTTGCACCAAATTTATTTAGGCCTGGAATATTTCTACAGAATTTCAAATGTAGTTTTTCACTTGTAGTTTTGTCCCATTTGTTTTCATCCAAAACTTCAATTCCCCAAATTTCTGAACCATAAATGTGTACTGGAAGAATGCATGTTCTGAACAGA